GGGTAGAGGGTGTAGCAGGGGCTCTGCAAGCCGGATCAAATCACTTGGTGGGCTGGATCCAGCCCATGGAGGCCCTTTTACCCACTCCTGAAGTAAATACAAGTAATTATTAATAATAATAATAACAACAACAACATATCAACAGTTTATTCAAAACTGACCAGAAACAAACGTGATAATGGCTTACTCTGTTTTCACACTCTGAGCTAACAGAAAAGTAAATACACATGGGAAAGTAAATTAGAATTTTAAAATTCTTTCAAGTTTTGTCACCTAAGATATGAACACAGGAAAGTTGGGTTTTTTTTAAATCCGTGTCCTTTTAAACCTTCTTTTAAAAGAGCTTTTTTCCAGTTTAAACAGTGTAGTCCAGAATCCAAATAATCTGTTTTAAATTTCAAATGTGCCATTGCTGCCAGCACACGTGAATAATAAACACTGTTTGGTATGTAACTCATAGGAGAACAGACAAACCAGAATGATATTTTACATTCAAGGAATGAAAGGAAAGAGAGGTCTGTTTTGCTCTAGATACATGTATGTAACTCTCATTCATTTTAATGAGCACTTACTGTGTACATCAAAGAATAGATTTCCTGGTATGGTGTCTCCTTGATCTTAATTCTGCTCCCAGTAATAAACTCATTTTTTATTCAAAGACAGTCCTGTTTTTTTCATCTTCTTGAGGGCAGGTCCCCTCACTAAATCTACTCCTCTGTTAATAATTTAGAATGCTAGCACTTAAAGGTTATTTTGGAGTAAGTAAAGGGTTGCATTTTGTTTTTAATAATTCTCAGTGGGGCTTATTTTCTAATGTACGGAACGGTTGGCTCATGTTCAGCAGTCAAATTTGTGGAAATTCTTTTTTCTCAATGTAGTCCTTTTTTAATAGCTGATAAACCAAATGTTTTGAGTGCCCTCTAATGGTGCACAATTAAACACAATTTGCAGAAAAGAGGTTGATTGTTTTGGGTTACTTAGAACAAAGGGATATAACACATTCTGTGGGAAGAGCCAAATCATAGTTTTAATTATGGTCCCTGAATCAGATCTACAAAGCTAACATCCATTTATCATCATTGATCTGCTGTGGATTGACCACTAATAACAGTAAAAGTGGGGATTTGTATGAAGCCTGAGCCATGTAGGTACTGGTGCCTGTGTGGACCCCTGTTTATTTCAGTGGGACTCTATATGGGCAATGAGTCTACTTTGTGGAACCCCATTGCAGTCAGTGGAATTTTGTGTGTGCAGGAACCTGCCTGTATGGATTAGTTTGCAGGATTGGGGCCTTGGTTAGGAAAGTTTCTATGGAGCAGTCATCAGAATTGTTTGTAATCCTGTGATATCCAGAGCTTTTCGTGATTGAGAGTGGTTGAGTATTTTGACAGAAGTTTTTACAACTGGCTTTCCAACCAATAGTAACTTGCCAACAGTGTTGGTTTTAGAATGAGTGAGTTTATAAACTGCTCTGGGATCCTTTAGGAGAAAAAGTGTTCTATTAATAAAAATTACTTTTTTTATTAAGAATAACAGAAATGTAAATGTCCCTAATTCACCATCTCACCATAACTGTTGGGTTTTAATTTCTTTATCTGATGCGATACACAAATTATGTTGAAACAGGAGACCTGTCTTTGGGAAGAAGAAGTTGGAACCTCATCCAAATATAATCCAGGTGATTCGGGCTTTTACATCCTCAGTTCCTCTGCTACCGGGAGCTTATTTGGACTATCCAGATGTTCTTCCATCAAGTCTGAACCCCAGTGGGATCGGTCACAGCCGCACTCTCTTCTTAGTGATGAAGAAGTAAGTAGAGATGAGCTTTATAAGTTACACAGTGTGACTGTGGTGTGAGGGTCTGTGTTCTGCTGCTGCTGGGTAAGCAACACAGGTCCTTGTAAGTCTTGGCCTGGCTTACTGCCATGGATCAAAGCATGCTTTAAAATTCATCCCTATATGATCTTTCCCCTGTTCCTGAGGTTTTTACTCTTGTCAAACAGTGAAAGTTCGTTGCTCATTTTAATCATTTATTTTCATTAACTGATTTTAGAAATATCAGACATTCTCCCAGTTTTCAGATATTCTGGTTATCTACACCAAGGCAAAGTTGAAGCAAAAGTAACTCGTGACCCAGTAACTCTGGGCTTTCTCATAGATAAGTGCTCCCTACTCCTCTGTTTCATAAAACACTTTGTTGGGGGATATTTTTATTTCCCCCATCTTTTTGCTGTTTTGACCAGCCTGACTCCAGAAATACTCTTCCTTCTCTGAATCATATCCCTTCCCACCAAGTCTGTTGGTCTGTAATAATGCACTCCCCTCTCTTTCCTTCAAAATACAAGAGGATACAGAAGAAAACCTCTGTACATAAAATGCCTAAGAAATCTCATTGTATACTCTGTGAGCTTCCTGCTTTTAGAAAGGATGCTTTGATTTCCAGTTCTAAAAGTATAACAGCCCTGATTTCAGAGGGTATGTCATGACAAAACATGAGCAGATGTGTTTGTGTATTGGTGGTAAGCGGGGGGGAGCTGAGGTTGCTTAAGGAATATGGGATGTTTAGGGAGAAGTTACTAAAATTAACAGTGAAGTATCTCCACTCAGCACGAATGATGAACTGAATATTTGCTTTACAGCAGACTACTGAATCAAATATTGTCTTTTGCATGCTGTCTAGTTATCCATGCACCCTGCGCCAGTACTTGAGAGAGAGGACTTCAGACACCCGCCTGAGCACCATGATGATCTTGCAGTTATTAGAAGGCGTGGATCATCTTGTTCAACATGGAATAGCGCACAGAGATTTAAAATCTGACAATATCCTTGTTGAATTTGATTCTGGTATGTAGCTTTTTGAGTCCATTTGGAACTGAATAGGGAGTTTACAAAAGTAATTTGACTTGTATTGAGACTTGTACTACTAAGTCACCTAGATGATTTTGAAAATCACATCCACAGTATTTAATGAGGAAGGACGTGAACCTAGATGTTACAGTGCTTAAAGGGAGATAAGGGGAATTCTGTTCTTGGCTGTGCCACATGCTGCTGTTGTGACATCTGAAAAAGTCACTTAGCCTCTCTGTGCCTTCGTTTTTCCATCAGTAAAATGAAGATTATGCTTCCCTATCTCATAGGGGTGATGTGTTGTGATGCTTTTTCAGTGTCTCTAAAATGCTTGGAGTTCATCAGATGAAATGTCCTATATTACTAAGGGAATGACTGCTTAAATAGAGAGCAAAGGGCATGTACTAGCCTGCAGTATAAAATTTTTGATACATTAGCTCCATGTCTGTGGTCTCTCTCATCGTAACTTTCCAGGCAATACTGAGCAGTTTCTAAAATCTCACAGCCTGGATGGGTTAATGATGTTGCACCTTTGGCTCATTAAACATTAGGTGAGACCAGAGGGAACAACATTTTCTTCTGCTCTACTCTCTTAAACTGGAATTTTAGTTACCTGATCATGGTTTTAGCATGACTGAGATTTAAACAAACAGGGAACAAGAGCAAGCACCTAGATCTGTGTAATTAAAAATCCTGATGTAGCTGCTATAGAAGATTTTTAGGGATCCTAGAATTTTCTTGAAAGAACATAAGAACGGCCATACTGGGTCAGACCAAAAGTCCATCCAGCCCAGTATCCTGTCTGCTGACAGTGGCCAGTGCCAGCCTCCCCAGTGGGGGTGGACCAAAGACAATGATGAAGCGATTTGTCTCCTGCCATCCATCTCCAGCCTTTGACAAACAGAGGCCAGGGACACCATTCCTTACCCCATAGCTAATAGCCTTGTTAGAGCTATACTGAATGCAGATGGTAATGACTAAATTTTTGGTCTCTGGAAATCATGGTTCTGTTTTGCAATGTTTGACTTCTCATCAGGAGACTTAACCATTAACTAATTCAAACATTTGCCAGTTCCCTGACTCTGTTTGTGCTGCAGATTTGTAAAAGCACCAAAGATTCCTTCCATCCCTAACAGAACTTCACCTTCGGAGTGGGACTCAATGAGATCTGGCACACCAGTCTATTTTCTCTTGTCACTTAGCGCTGTTTCTAATTCTTACGTTGCATGTTGAATGTAGGAATATGTTTTCATTCTGCTCATCTGTGCTGTACATTTGTATTGTAATTCACTCACTGGGGCTACATCTAGACTGCAAGCCTCTTTCGAAAAAGAGCATCTAGACTGCAACCAGTACTTTCGAAAACACAAGCTGCTTTTTTGAAAAAGAGCACCCAAGCAGTCTGGATGCTCTCTTTCAAAAAAGCACAGTTTGCATTATATAGTGCGTTTTTTCAAAAGCACTTTCGAAAAAAGGTCCTCTTCCTCGTAAAACGAGGTTTTCCATGGTCGAAAAAACTGCCATGTTCTTTCGATTTACTTTAGAAAGACGCGGCAACAGTCTAGACACACAGGAAGGTTTTTCAAAAAAAGGCCACTTTTTTTGAAAAAACCCTGTAGTCTAGACACATCCTGGGTGTCCAAGTTATGATGGAAGCTTTTAAATGAACACAAGTGTTTTGCTTCCTGCAACCTCAGAAACTGAGTGTGCGTGGATTATGTCAGGCTGCTAAATTTGGGAGAATAATTGAAGTGTTTATGCAAACTCTGAATGGATAACTAATTTGTTATACAAAGAAATGGGAAAATATTGTCCTTTAGTAATGTCACCAGTCTTCTGACTTGCAATACTGAAGAGAGAGATGAAAGAATGGTCTGTAGTAATAGAGATTCCTATAAGGAATCAGACAGCTTATGCTGATTAATAGTCAATTTCTAAAAATGATGTGTGGTATCTAATATGATCAAGTAATTTACATTGCACATCTCAATTGGGTGCTAACTCTGTTAACTTATGATGTTTACAGCTGGCTGTCCTTGGCTGGTGATCACAGACTTTGGTTGCTGTTTGGCAGATGAAAATATTGGTTTGAGATTGCCTTTCACCAGCTGGTATGTGGATCGGGGAGGCAACAGCTGTCTTATGGCACCTGAGGTAAATCCTCATGTGAATGAATCTCAGCAGTTATGGTTTTACATATGTGCAATGCTATTGGAAGTATAGGATCCAGTAAAGTTCATTAACATAAATAGGAGCAGGATTAGGTCTGAAGTAATGGATTTGGGGAACACCTTCCTCTTCACTCTATATATCATCTTTCCCACAAGATGAGAAATTTGATTGCCATTCAGACATGTCCTTATTAATCGGTGAAAGCCCCTTCATTATTGGTTATCTAGCCATTCGTGTCTAGGACTATATCTCTGCTAGCTTATGTTAGCTACTGCAGGTTATTGTGGGTGTAGCATTGTCTAGTTTATTTTCCCACAGAACTTCCTGCCATGGAGTGCCATCTCCATGAGCATTGCTTAGAGTAGGCCTGGGAAAAATATGGTCCATGGGCTGAATTCGGCATGCCAAGCTACAGGATCTGGCCCGCGGACAGTGCGGGGAGCCCCAGGCAGGCTCTCTGCTGCCTTGCCTCACCCGCATGCGGTGCAGAAATGCGGCTGCGGGGCAGTTTCACTTTAAAAGTGAGCTCGGAGGGAGGAAAGCTTTAGGAGCTGCTGCGCTCCTAGCACAATCCTATTGGCCGACTTCTGGCCAGAAACTGACCAATGGGAGCTACCTGTTTCAGTAACAGACAGCCATGAAGCACAAGGGGCTCCTAGTTATTCACAGAGCACATGGCTGTAGCCTGGGTGGGAGCGGGGCAGGCAGGGAAGCTGATTCAGGAATGGGCTGCTGGCTGGAAAGTCTCCTGGCCAGAGCCTGCCTCTGGCACCCCAGCCCCTCCTTTCCCCAACCCTCTGCACCACTCCTGCCCCCCTACTCCATATATCCAAATCCTCTGCCCCCCCTCCCGCACCCTGTACCCCCTCCCAGATCCGGCAGCCCAGTCCCCTGACCCAGATCACAGTCCCCTCCTGCCGAAGCTCACAACCCAAACCCCTGCACCCCTCCTGTACTCCAATTTCCTGCCCTAGGTTACAATCCTACCCCCTCCACCCCAGTCCATCTCCCCAGGTCACAACTATCCCCTTCACCCAAACTCCCTCCCTAACCCCAAGCTCCCTTCTGCACCCAACCGCCATCCCAGATCCTGCACCTCCTCCATTAACATCATGAAAGAATGTGGCCCTCGACCACTTTCCAAATTCTTGGAGTGGCCCCCTGTCGAAAATTATTGCCGACTCCTGGTTTAGAAGATTCATGGTCTGGTTGCTTGGTGCTACTATGTGATTAATGGCTCTGATGTTGAAGTTGAATTAATCAAGGGAATTGATACCATCTACATGTTTTGTTCGTCTATAAAGTGCTACCAGACCGTTTGTTGTTTTTTAAGTTTAACCATTATAGAACTCTTTGCTGGACACATTGATATCTTGAGCAACTGAAAATGGGGGAAAAATCAGTGTTACAGCCAGGTGATGGTTGGTTTTACACATGAAACCAAGACATTTCAAATTTGGCTGCCTTTGCATTCTTATGCCCTATTCTGCTTAGCTTTTACAGTGGTCTCAGAACAGTGAATTTTCCTATATAGCATCCGTGTAATTGTTCTTGCATTATTATTAAACTAATAGTCATTCCTCTGAATGCTGGTGAAATTAATTGTTTCCCTTTTTTCTGTTAATAGCAGTCTCAACATATGGTAAGGGATCCCCAGCCTGGCATTAGTATACCGAGCTGGGCTTTTATGCAGTGTGAAATGGAACATGGGGTTCCTTTATAAGACCACTATCTAGAATCTCTCTTCAGTTGCTCAAGTAATATATCACTATGAGTGCTAAGCTGGGCGCAAGCTTTAGTCGGAGATGAGAACTGAGTTGATGATAATGGAAGTGCTGACCAGATACAAAGAAGTAGATTTTTCAAAAGGTTAAACAAACTTGTGCTGTGTATTTCTTATTTCCCATATATGTCCTGTGGTCCTTCTGACGTAGGTGGTGACAGCAATACCTGGTCCAGGTGTCCTGATTGACTACAGTAAAGCTGATGCATGGGCGGTTGGAGCAATAGCATATGAAATCCTTGGACTGGGTAACCCTTTCTATGGCCCAGGAGGATCCTCTCTGGAAAGTAGACACTACCAAGAAGACCAGCTGCCGGCCTTGCCAGATACTGTGCCCTTTGATGTGAAGCAGGTGGTAAAGATGCTACTTCAGCGGGATCCGAACAAGGTGAGAGACCTTGTGCCCATTGTCATGAGTGAGGTATTAATAGGTTGTCGGTTGTCCAGCACTTGCTTTCCTGAGAGTATTTTGATAGAATGTACAGTGCCTAGCACGTTGCATAACTGCACACTGCAGGGATCCTAAGCACTGTGTTGATTATTATTATAGAAAACTATCACAGGACTTTAATGAAAGTGTGATGCAGTATAAAGATCTTGGTACCTGACACTATTTTTGCATATTACAGTGAAGTTGTATTGTAAAAGTGTGGCATGTGGAATTTGACTGAATTGGGATTAACAGCCACCAAAAGTCTTTCAATTTGAAGTGAATATTCTGAGAGACGAGAAGCATTTTGGGATCATTTCAGCAGTTACATCTGTTCTAACACCTTCCACGTGATTTAGCTGAATTTGATGATCTTCTTTCACTTCTTGTTTCAGAGACTATCTGCTAGAGTTGCAGCGAATGTGCTTCACTTAAGCCTCTGGGGTGAAAATATTCTAGCCCCAAAGAGCCTGAAACTAGACAAGGTGATTGGCTGGCTTCTTCACCAATCAGCTGCCACTTTACTGATGGATGGACTGGTGGACAAAAGCAGGGTAGAAACTAAGATGAAGATGTGCTTCTTGGCAAATCTGGAGTATGAAGATCTTTGGGAAGCAGCATTTTTACTGCTGTCTTGGAGAAACCATTCTGTCTAAAGGGTACCATTCTGTGTGCGGCCCTGCAGTAGATAAATGGCATTTGCTGAAAGCACTTGGGAATCTGTCTAATACTTCTATCCCTCTGAAAGCCTAAAATACTTTAAGGAAAAAAATTCTGTAGGCCTGGTGTATGTGCTAATGTAAGAGGTTGAGTTTGCCCACAGAGGGCATTAGTGCACAGATGGTTAGAGAAAACAGCCTTGAACTGTTACTGTTATAATGAGATTTGGAAAGTGTTTGAATGCTATCTGGTCAGCTTTATTCACAGCTGAACATTTAGATTTACTGCTTGATGCACATTCCTTTACAAAAGGGTGTATGCGTTGAGGGACGTATAACACAGCTGCTATATACTGTAAAGCATTACAGCTGCACTTTAGTCCTATTGATTTGTATAACACAGCTGCTATATACTGTAAAGCATTACAGTTGCACTTTAGTCCTATTGATTTTTTGTTTGAGCTACAAAGGAAGTTAGACTGATGGAAGAAAATGGAATCTTTGTTTTCCTCGATTTGAAATCAGCATCATTCTTACTAAAATCATATTCCTCTGCAGCCATAGATGCCTTTTATTATAAAATGACAGCCAAGGGCATCATGATTGAGGTGTTTATCTGTGAGGAGTTCTGACAGAGCTGGAGGTGGGTTACGAAATGCACAGACAAAGTACTTATCTAATTATATGTAAAATGATATAGGGATCCTCAGTACTGAACAAATAATTTATATTTTCTGATTGATTTGCTATGGGATCCTCAGTACTGAACAAATAATTTATGTTTTCTGATTGATTTGCTATAACAACATGTTTGTCCCTTTGAGGGCCCAAACCAACTATAATATCCAAATCTGAACTTCACAGTTCAAGCTTGCAGTGTTAAAAGATCTCTGCATGAGCTGAACTGGATATCAAATCCAGATATCCCCAGGCTTTTGACAAGTTTGGATTCAGACCTTGATATGAACTAAGCAACTCAGTCGCATCTCTAATATCAGCAGTTCAGGAACTGGAGTCATGTGGCCCTTTAGACTGTGTAGATCTAGTTCTTTTAACCAGATCTTAAATTCCTTCCAAGAACACTCTACTATTTTAGTGTGCCAGGCTAAGAGAGGATTGCATCATATTTAAGAGAATGGTGAAAAAGGCAGTGGGGGTAACGTTCCTTATTATATAAACCCATTTTTCTGTTTCACTACTAAGGGTTATTCTGTGGTTGTAAGAAAACACTTAATTTTTAACCAGCAATAACTGTTTAGTGAAAACGCCATCAGTTTTATAGCTGTGGGTTGTGGGTGTCTGAAGAAGTTAAGGAGAAGTTTGTTTGTTTTTCCCTCTTCACACAATAAAGTGGTGACTGCTGTGACAATGAATCTGCAGAGTTTTGTCTCTCTTTACTTTATCAGGACTTAATGCCATAGTGGCCTGTGGGCTAATTCATGTTGGGAGTTGGGTTTTCAGATTTACTCTTCTGTTGCATGTTAAATATTTGGATGTGGTCCTGACAGGCCCTATTAGCTCCTTTGCGTCCAGCTGTCAGGACTCAGTTTATTCTCATGCTCCACCACTAAGGATAGCAATTAAGTTCAGTTTTTCAAAGAGCAATGTGGCACCATTTGGGAAATAAACCGTGATCTACCATTGTTCAACATAAGTCCTGAAAGTTCTGAACATTTTCATGGTAACTTGTTTATGCTCTTATTTCCAGGAGATTATTAGAACTGAGTTGTGAGACCCTGGGACCACACAGTAACATGCTGCCACAGCATTTTGGGTCTTGTAGGTAGTTTTGCGGTGTTTTTAATGCTTTATTTCAGGCTTTCTCCATTCACTTGTAAAATATAAGGGAAATAGCCATTAAAAATTTTATTGCATTGGTGTAAATGTGCTTACAGAAATTTACACCATTCATCTTATAATGCAACCACTGAGTTACGTACTTACACTTTCTGATATGTTAGCTATGAATCAGCTGACTAACATAACCAGCCACCTCATCTGAATCTTTATAGGTCCCACGACAACAATACATAAATGGTCCCATGCAGAAAGATCCACAAAATCTGGCACGGAATTTGGGAAGATTCAGGAAAATCCAAGTAAAATTTAGTCCTGTAAAAAGTCACCACAATACCCTGATTAGTTAATGGTGTTTTGAGCACAATGTGCCATCAGCAACAATACCACAGCTTAGTAGAGTTCAGTCTAATTGTCTGTGGATGGCAGAACCTACAGGTGTTATGTCAGTGGGAATTCAGGGCTGGGCTTTCTCCCAAGCTGAACAGGCAGAGCTGGCCTTACCATGAGGCGAACTGAAGTGGCCGCCTCAGGTACCAGACTGTGGGGGGGCGCAACTAGGACCCAGAGTGTAGAAAATTGTGTCTGCTGCTGGTGCATGTGTAATCTCTCTGCTCTAGATGCACAGAGATGGTGGAGTGCTGTGCTGGAGGAAGAGAGATAACAGGCAGGCAAGAGAAAATCGGGCATGGGGGTGTCATTTGAGCTCCGTGCCTCAGGTGCCAAAATGTTGTGGGCCGGCCCTGTGAACAGGTATTGGAAAAATTCATTGGGCGGTTCCATAGACCATAGCTCCATACTACAGGGCAGGGCTCTGCTTCTATAACACACTCTCCATGTGGATAGGATGTTTCTAGACACACCTACTGCCTGTTACCACAGCTGTTACAGAGATGTGTTTTTATACAGTTTAGCTTTTGAGGCTCTCAGTCTTTTCTAATGCCATACTTTTTGCTTCTACATATGGCTTATAGCCTGCTGTTCCAAGCATGAGGTGCTTCCCAAAGCATCCCATTCTATGCTTCTCCTGGGGTGGGGTGCCATCATCTCCGGACAGCTCCGCCATCTGCAGCGTAACAGCGGAGACCTGGACAAGCCTTATTGTTGTTTCCGTGATAAAGGTGAATAGTAAAACAGTAACTATTTTTCCTGAATGTAAGCCCTCCCCCTTTGCTCTGTATTATGTAACACCCTGCAGAAGCTCTCAGGACTAGGATCAGCAGTGCCTCTACCTGAGCTTAGAAGTTGCATAACCACTGCTGAGTTGAAATCTCTTGTTGATTACCCCTCTCTGCAAGCTGAAACTCCAGTAAACACAGTCACTTTCCTGATAGCTTTCAACCCCGTCTTGAATTCTCAGCTTCTCCTTTACGAAAAGGGGTCAATGACACATGACATGACATCCATGAATTCTCACTCTGATTGGAGAGCTGAGGCTGCCATCAACATGTATGTGTGTGAAGAGGCATTGTCAGAAGTTCTACCCTGGAATCAGTTTGCTTTGCAGATGTGAATGCCCCTCCGGTCTCTAAGAAGCTACCGTCTGTTTAACAGCAGGTAATGAAGTTAGAAACAGTATTTGCAACCCAGAACAGACCATTGATCCATCCAAGCCAGTATTCTACTTTTCACTATAACCATATGCTTTGGTGAAAGTGAAGAAAAAAAAACAATGCACATAACTACAAGTAGTTGAGCAGGGTAGTCTTTTGAACTCTGCATACAGTCAGTTAGCATCCTGAAGGAGGAAGCTTAAAAAATGGATTTGTTACTGTCAGGGATGTTCCTCACTCTGGCAATCTGAGTGCAGAAGGTGGGGGCCCACAGAAGACTTTGCCTCTATAGGCTCTGCTTCCAAAAACTCCCCAGAGTCACAGATTCACGGACACTGGGAGATGGCTGCCACCATCAAATGTCCAACTCCTTTTAAAACCTTGGAAGAATCACTTGAACTTCTTTCAGAGGAGTACCCCAAGCTCTTTTACCACAAGAGAACTTGAAAAAGGAAACAAAATAAACTGCAATCTCTAGTAGCTGGCCTCTCGGCCTAGGCAGGGACACAAATAGACCTGTTACCTTCCAGGACACAAGAATCAAATCATCACCTTAAAAAAGGTGATTTTATTAACAACGCAAAAAGATATACTTGATAAAGCATACTTGATTGCTAGGTGTTACAGAGCAACTGAGAGAGCAAATTGAGAAAGAGAGAGAAATGGTATTTCTGATACGTTAGGTATAGTGAACGGGGGGCACATGACTTTCACACAAGTTTAATCAAAAAGCAAAATAAAGAAAAAGACTGAACGTACACTTCTCTATCTACTCACGAGCTGTACTTCAAGGCCCAATCCATTCCCATGCTCAATATTTCTTTTAGCCATGGTAATTCCATTTGATTACTTCATCTTGCTTCCAGCTACTAAGAACCCACACGAAGAGAGCAGGCAGGAGCTACATATTTATCATTTAAATTTCAGCATTGTATCCCATTGGTTCTTATGGCTCCCTGCCAACACCCTTAGCTACCTGAGTTTAACCCTTTAGTCACCGAGTGCTGGCCAGCACTCCTCCTATCCATCACAGTTACTTACACTGCACGTAAGTATGCCTGTTGAGCTATGACTTAAGTGAACACAAAACCTAAGGGAGCAGAGGACCAGGATCCAATTACAAAGCAAAGGTCACTTGAGATATTAAAAATGCTTTCTTAGAAAAGACACATGTCTAGTGCTATCATCTACATGGAGAAAAACCAATTAAGGCTGGAAAGGCAGACACTTTACCATCTGAGCCATGTCCTTGTCTAATCTCTCCACATGACAGCACTTCATATTTTTCCCCATCTTGTGTGTCAGCATATTGGGCTGCTGTAGTCAATGTATCCCACAGTCTCTGCATCATCTGAGTCAAATCAAGCCAGTTTGGTGTGAAACCCAGGTGAGCCTTAGAGATTGTCTGGTTTGATCTTGTTTGGCCCAGCTGCCAAAATTAGCACTGGCAGGAGGACAACAATTCTGTTTCACAGTACCTTCTGAGGTTTGGAAATTTGTTTTCATTCCATTTTTTGAATGTTTTCATAAAAATTCTGTTTATCTATTTTCAGGTTGAAATATGAGCTTTATGATTTGAGAAGATAGGGTGAAGTGCAGGAGATTTGGGTAGAATCCCTGCTCTGAGTGGGCATGTCTGCCCAACAGGGCTAAACTCGAAGTAAGCTACACAACTTGAGCTACCCGAATTGCATAGCTTATTTCAACTTTTGGCGCTGTCTACACAGCAGTTATTTTGAGAGCGCGCACTCTTCCCCCGACTTCCCTTACCCCTCCTGAAATGAGAGTTACAGAAGTTGGAGTAAGAAGCCCATTATTTCAAATGTAGTTTGAAATAATGTGCTTGCTGTGTAGATGTGTACTTTTTCAAATGTATTTCGAAATAACGTGCTTGCTGTGTAGATGTGTACTACAATATTTCAGAATAACTGATGTTATTCTGAAATAACGCTGCTGTGTAGACATAGCCAATCTGAACAGAAATTTTCGTCTTTGCTGACTCAAGCACAGCATGGGTCTCCAACATCTCAGACCAATAGCCTAGCCACCAGGGAACAGAGCTCAGATATTTTTGTGGACACACAATATCTTCTTACTAAAAAGTCCTCAAAATAGATGTCACCGTGAAATGTTTCAGTTTCAGTGAAGTTTCAATTCGTTGAAAATGTTCCTACCATCTCTCTCCAAGGTAAATATTGTTTTGTAAAAGCTTGCCAGTTCCTGCTTGCTAAAAATGGGAAAGCTGGGAGGTGTGAAGCAAAGAGATGCTGAGTGACCATCATCTGAAGATATTTAACTGTGGTGAATCAGCACTGGAAGCTTTTGGGCACCATGATGTTCCCATTGGAATTTGCAGTGTTCTCTTACAAGCTGTTCCAAACACTTGGCTTCAGTAGACTCTGGGTTCATTGCCCCTGGCATACTCAGAAAAGGAAAAAGAGTCCCCAGAGGGGCAAATGGTGGGGGAGGGTGAGGAGGAGAGGGAATAGATTAGGGGAAGGGCATTGCATTAAAGCGGCTGCATCTCTGCTCTGGGACTGGAGGACAAGGGGGAGGTGTGGGGCTTGGTGCTGCACTTTGATCCTGCCAGGGAGAGGGGAGTGTGTCTTTGCTCTCCCAGTATCTCCCTGCTCAGAGCCTGCAGGGCCGGCTGTGCTGGTGGCAGAGGGCAAGCAGGAGCGTGAGATGGAGCGCCTCTTCTTGCAGGGCAGCGGGCAGCTGCTGGGGAGAAAATGCTGCGGAGGACAAGGGGGAGGTGTGGGGCTTGGTGCTGCACTTTGATCCTGCCAGGGAGAGGGGAGTGTGTCTTTGCTCTCCCAGTATCTCCCTGCTCAGAGCCTGCAGGGCCGGCTGTGCTGGTGGCAGAGGGCAAGCAGGAGCGTGAGATGGAGCGCCTCTTCTTGCAGGGCAGCGGGCAGCTGCTGGGGAGAAAATGCTGCACCAAGCGCCTCTGCCTGAGCAAAATCTTGGGAACTTCCCTGGCAGACCCGCTCCAGCCCCCTCTTCCGAGCAGCATCCCCAGAGCCAACCTGCATGTGGGGGCTGCCACTGACTCCCTGCCAGGCTGCCTTTCGGGGTGCTTTAAGAGCCTGCTGTTGGGGCACGGCCCTCCTCGCCGCTTTCTCGCTGGTTCCAGCTTCAATGTGCCCCCCAGCGCGCAGTTCGTAGCCCGGCCCGTGGGGATCTGCTCCATGCTGAAGCTGCCCGTCCAGACTTCACCGGAGGGGCTGGATGCTGCTTTTGTTGGGGTGCCCCTGGACACAGGAACCTCCAACCGCCCTGGCGCAAGGTAGGGGGGAGCCCCCAGGAACACGGGCCCTTGTTGTCTAGTGACCAGGTCACTTACCCCGCGGGAAAAATCGAAGCCTCATGTTGAACAGAGTCCAAAAAATCCCCAGGGGTCTCAGTGCTGTGAGCACAGGTGACTCCTGGCAGCACTGGGGAAGGTGCATCGCCCCTCTGTGCCCCTACTAAAATTGTTAATTGCTAAATGGGGCACCCCCACATACTCCTCCCTATTCCTCTGGCTGCTCCTTACTGCACCCCCATCTCTGCAGGCACCCATGGCTGTGAAGGATGCAGGACTGACTGCCCAGTTTGCTTTTGATGTCCATTCAGTCCTGTTCTGGGGCCAGTGCTCAGAGCAGGTTTGTAACGTGACAATCAGGGTCTAGACCGAGTGTAGGGTTTGAACCCTAATTTTCACTAGAATCTACTGATTGAATGTAAGATATATGGTAGCCCAATGTCTGTGACTCTGTAACACTGAAACGCTGGCTTTTCCCTTTGGGCGGCGCTATTGCCTCCCGCCGTGGCGCTCGGCTGACTTCTGCGATGCTCAGCTGGGCCGCCACGCAGGAGCAAGTGGCGCAAGCAGCCGTTTGGGGTCCACGCTCCCCATGCAGCACAGGGATGAATTAGCAGTTTGCATGTGTAGTGCCTATGAAAGTTAATTCGAACTAATGACTGTTAGTTCGAATTAACTTTGTAATGTACACATACACAAAGAGACGGAGAAGAGAGGGGGGGGGGGGGGAGACGAGAAAGAGAGAGAGAGAGATGGAGAGCGAGGCAGGAGATGGACGAGAGCTGGGAGAGAGAGAGAGGGTGAGGCAGTAGGAGGAGAAGAGAGAGAGAGGCCATTTGTGCTGCTTGCTCCCATGCGGCGGCCCGGCTGAGCAGTGCAGAAGTCAGCCGAGCACCATGGCGGGAGGCGAAGGGGGGTGGGGTGGTGACGTACGCACCCAAGATGTGGCGAGTGGAGAGAAAGTGAGATGCAGGAGGGGGAGAAGAGAAAGAGACAGACGGGGAGAGAGAGGTAGAAGGTGGAGGAGAGCTGAGAGAGAGGGGGAGGCAGGAAGAGGAGGGGAAAGAGAGAGGGAGCGAGAGACTGGAGGCTCAGGAGAGAAGACCGACGTGGAAGAGAGACCTGAAAATCCAGTCTTTTGATGGGCTAATTGGCTAGTTGTACTATAAAAGCCCATGAAAACTGGTGACATGCAGGTCATGAATATCAGTATAATGTATGGATGGGTGGTGCACAGAGCTGTGTGTGTGTGCTGGAAATATGTACCTTTAATATGTTGCGGAGAAAGTTGATAAATCAGTCTGACTTGAGACGAATGTGGATTTACCTTTCTGGTCAACCTCTATAAGCCAAAGGACAATGAAGATACATTTAGAAATGAGGTTAATGGAGCTATCAAGCTGCAGCATATTGAGGGACAGAATCTGCACCCCCAGGAAGTCTACCTAGCTCTTGATACAAAGACAATGGACTTTAGGAAATGTAAAATAGAGCAAAAATATATCCTAAATAGCCATCAGTTAAGGGAACCACTGCATCTGGAAAGGCCTCTGCCTAAGTGGCTGGAGTCGCTTGGAATTTGAGAGTAACCTGCTTAGGCAAAGCTTGTAACTTGTTACAATGAAGCTTTTGTCGCTATAAAGCATGTTTGTTTTGTTTAGTTTGTATTTATACCTTTTCCTCTTGCTTAGTCTCTAGGTTCTTAATTAATAAACTTAATTTCTCTGTATATTTAAGAGGGTGCCTGTCTGTAAGTCCGTCTGGTTGTCTGTGAGTGTGTTTGTTCACAAACTCCTAAACAGTAAGAACGAAGGGCAACAAATTTGGTATGCAGTTGTGGGGAAAATCCAATAACTCCAATTGTGTCAAAGGGGGGACTGTGCAGAAATCAAAACTCTCTAAAGAAAACTGCTGTAAGGGTTAAAAGTTTTCCAGCTCTCTCTCCCTGTATCAGAGTGAAATCAAATTAACTCTAATCAAAGACCCTTACGAATGACTCTCTCAAATTCATGGATACTCCTAGTCTGTCACAAATTATCATGTAAACTCTTATCTTTGTCACAGGTTGCCTTGTAAGACCACTCACTCCACATTCTCATGTGCCTTTGTTTTGTAAAACTTACTTCTAGCACTCCTGGGGGGAACAGAAGTCTCAGAGTGCTTCTGCTGAGACTTTGATATGTTAAAGAAGAACAATCCACAACTGAACTGTCTAAGCATTCTGTATAAAGGATCAAAAGCCCTGTAACTCAGGGCTGACTGCTACGGCTGCCAGCCTGCATGCATGCATAATAAAGTTTTCTCTTCTAGGTTTCTCTCCTGCCTCACTGATTTGACCTCCGGCCTCGGACCCTTCTGGGGGCTCTGTACCCCAGGGGAGCGAGATTTCCCCCTCAATTTGGTGCCAGGAGTGGGATGGCTTGGAACTCCAGTTGGAAAGGCTGATGACGGGGAATGGGAACGGACTACAACGCGCATCTGGAGGGTAAGGGATCCATTTAAAATCCCCCAGTCCGACTCCCTGTTCTCGTCACCAGCTGGACCGGCTGGCGGTAAGAGTCATCTTTTACTTAAAATTTTTTGTTAAGAGGCTTGAGGGAAACTTAAAACGAAAACACTGGGTATAGCCAAATAGGGGTTGGATTTTGTTGTTGTTGTTGTTGTTGCTGACTGATTGGTGGCGAGTCCAAGCACATGGTTTTGAGTGAGTGAAGTCCGGAGGGGGACCGCAGCCGCACCAGTGCTGTCAGTGTCACTGCACAGCTGCTGAAAGCAAGGGCGGTTTCCCCCGGCACATAAGGAGTGTGAGTGAAGCTGACAGTTTGTGTGGACTCCCACACTATCCTTGGAGAGGGTAGTGTTGCTGGA